TCTTGTTTATTAGGTTTGACTGAGTGTATGACTGGAAGACGCTCTCAAAGTCAAGACCTCATACCGTTTGATCCTTAGATTGAGAGAACAGTTAGGAAACAAAAAGACAAATTCACTCACTCACTGGAACATCAAGAAGACGGAGGTTCTGTCGGAAATATAAACGAGAAGAGTGACAAGAACGTTGGGGAACAACAATTAGCACAAGAGGAAGCAATGGAACGAGTACAACCTGCTCGAGCTATGAAGGAGTACTCCATCCCAACTCTTTCCAACACTCCATCGTGTATTGTAGTACCAGCAGTTGAAGCAAATTCATTTGAACTCAAGTCTGGAATGATTCACTTGTTACCATCTTTCTATGGAAAGTCGAACGAAGATCCTAACATGCATATTCGGGAATTTTTCGACATTTGTGGCACGATCAAGATCCTAAATGTCTCTGATGAAGTGGTTAGGCTGAAATTGTTCCCGTTTTCATTAAAGGATAGAGCCAAAGCTTGGATTCACTCACTACCAGCTGAATCCATTAATTCATGGGAGGGATTAGCTCAAAAATTTCTCCAGAAATTCTTCCCTGCGCAGAAAACGAATCAGCTTAGAAGAGATATCATGCATTTTAGTCAAGGAGAGCATGAGCCATTCTATGAAGCTTGGGAGAGATTTAGAGAGTTGCTGCAAAAATGCCCTCATCATGGCATTATTGATTGGATGCAGATGCACCTCTTTTATGAAGGACTTATGACTGCAAACAAACAAATGGTTGACTCTGCGTGTGGAGGTGCATTGATGGAGAAGACACCTTAAGAATTGTTTGATCAATTTGATTTGCTTGCTAATAATAATCAACAATGTGGTAGTGAGCGGACAAGGAGGGTAGGAGTTTATGAAGTTGACACCAACACTGCGGTTGCTGCTCAAATTTCAAGCCTTGAGAAAAAACTTGAAACTCTTATGCGTGTTGTTATTCCACCTTCCCCACATCAAGTTTGTGCCATTTGTTCTGACCCAACTCATCCAATGGAGCTTTGTCCATCTACTATGCAAGGTTCTGAGCAAGTTCGCCAAGTTAATTCGTTTCAGCGACCTCGGAATGATCCATATTCGAACTCCTATAATCCAGGGTGGCGTAACCACCCAAATTTTTCATGGAGCAACCAGCAACAACAAGCTAGTTCTAGGCATCCCTTCCAGCAACAAATGCAGCCTTCGAGTGAGCCTAAGAAACCAGCGTTGGAGGATATAATCGCTCAATTTGTGCAGACTTCTCAACAAAATCAGAATACTATGCAAGCGTCCATCACTAAGTTAGAAACTCAAGTTGGTCAGCTGGCTACTATTGTGCATGAGAGGGCGCAAGGTACATTCCCAAGCCAACCTGAAATTAATCCTCGAAAGTCTGAGCATGCCAAGGCTATTAGAACGCTGCGGAGTGGAAAATCATATGGTCCACAAGAGAATGATGCACCAAATGCTGGCCACGCTGAAGATCATGTCAAGAAGAGTGGTGAGGAGGTGGATATTACTTCTAA